AAAGTAGTTTCAAACATTTCTTCTTTCCCCCATTGCTCTCCTATGTCCCAGTCTGTACAACAAGGCTTTTCAGCAGATGCACAGTTCTAACCTCTGAATTCGAGAAGCCTTTTGCAGATGTTGAATTCTACATGCGTAAGTAATCCCACAGCAATTAAGGCATGTTCTGGAACAGCACTACACACGTGTCCCAGAAGAGCCCACTGAAAATAAACAGCATCCGGCTACCAAAGCAGTTGTCCTCTGAAATTTAAAAGGTTCATCTGCAGCATTATGTTCTAATAGCCCACCAATGAGGTCTCTTTTTAAAATGCCAGTGGCTAGTTTCTTAACAAAATTTCATAATTTAGGGAGAGAAAACATGTATGAATTTCTTGCACAAAACATGTAGTTGGTCTGCTAAAATAAAGATTACTAATTTTTGACATTTATTTCACCTCAAGAATTCTTTCCTGGTGCTACATAATCTTGAATGTGCCCTAACTCCCAAACATAAAGAAAACATGACTCATAATCACAGCTCACATTATTACCTTTTTTTTTAAATCATGCTGCAGAACCTTATTTCGATTCGTTCTCAGTATCACAACAATAGAATTTGCAGGAAGGAAACCATGGTAACCAATTAACTGTGCTACAGCAGATATCTGCTCAAAAGAACATGCAGTACCATCACACTTCAACGCCTACCCACTAGTACAATCTCTACCCATTTCCTCTTTATCCTCATCCTAATTATTAAACAAAATCTCCACCACAAAAGGCTACATTGCAAACCACATCTTACTGTGACAGTCAGTTGCTGTAGGTCCTAACATTAAGCAATGTACTACTCTTTTGCCAAATTTAAAATTTAAAAGCAGACCTAATAGCTCCAGAAATCAATTAGGAATTTTTATTCTTTTAATCTGTTTGGAACATTGAATTAACATTATAATGTATTTTATATATTTTTATTGTAACAGAGACTTGCAGATATGTATGGACACAGATATATATCTACGATAATTTTTTATGTTACTAATTTTCCTTAACCCTCAGGATTGCAAAAGATTTTCAGTGGCATTCTCTGATTAATTAATTAGTAAACATTGGTGAATGCATCCATGATTAAGTACAGGCATTAAATAGAGTAGGGTGCTGATTTGTTGCTCTCATTTGTGTTTATGCTTTATTCTCTTTATCTGGTGTCTGAGCTGATACAATTTTACAGGCCTTAGGCTCTGAACATCAATTTTGTTTGAAGGACAGCTCTGAATATTTAGTCAAACTTATATACTTAAAACGACATTTAAATTATAATTTTCTTTTTCTTTAAGAACATACTTCTACCTCTGTTACAAATTCTGAGAAATTTGTTTTCTGAAAAAAACTCACCCTCTTTTGTTTCAAATTTAGATTTAAAAGGTAGTCTGCCTTAAAGAAGTCATGATCCAAATTAATTGCACAATAATGGATGAAAGTAGACAAAAATAGCTCATCAGAAGATGATCAAAATGCAGCTTCTTATATAAGTGGAAAGCAGATTTTACAGAAACTCAACAGCAACTTTAAAAACTGAAAAGTTTTTTTGTGGTTAACAGTCACCTTCCCTACCCTACTGAAGAAAAAATATTAAAAATCTTCACTTTGAACTCAGTTAACTATGCCAGAGCATCGCAGTAAGAATATTTGACTGCCTTGCTTAAATCTGCAAAAATATTGTTTTTTGCTGTCCTATATTTGGTCATTTAAGCAGTGCTAGGCTACGTCTGTAGTTATTGCAGCTCAGGAACAAGATCTTTAAATCTACTGAAGCTGGTTCTATTAAAAGCGCCACAGCCTAATGCTTCACAGTTGTCAAAAATTCATTTAAAAAGGTTTAGAGAACAAAGAACTAAAACACCGTGGCCCACTTCATCTTGAACATGATGTGCAGTCTGTCTGGTATGATCACACCTTTGAGATTTTAGACATCAGCTACAATAGCTCATGGAATCAAATTCAAAGTGTTCCATGATGATTTGAGGAGTTGTCTGGCTTGGGTCCTCAGGACAAAGCACAAAAAGCTTGCTCTTTTCCATTGTAGGAAAGATGACTGGAAATATTTCATTACAGAGACATCATACTTTGCCACAGAAAGGGATATGATCCTGTTTCACTAAACTGCTCTTCACGACTGGATGCACTGGGTTTTTCAGGATTCCCAGGCATGCTGACACAAACACAGGAAGAAGACATCTGCCAGAGCTGGACGTGCTGAGCTGTCTGTATCACTGAATTGCCTCCCTCCCCAGCAGAAGAAGTGGTAACTACAAGCCAGGAAACAAACCTATCTCAGTCTCAGCATCAGCTGCTCCTACCCAAAGGTACCACAAGACTTTTACGTCTCGATGAACCGGCATTTCATGATGCAACCACACTTCATAGGCAGTTTCCAATTTGCCCTAATCAGAATTGACAGACTGTCAGATCACCAAATCAGACAACAAACACAGTGACAGAGAGATTGAACAGATACACAGAAATACAGAGGGAATCAAGTGTTTATGCCAAGAGTCAATGGGTACCCTCAAGAATCTAAATTTTCCTTTTTTCATTTTTTTCCAAAACGTGCCTGAAAAGCAATCAGAACACATGGATATTTAATTTTATGTTTTGTCACTATGCTATTTGTTGCAGAATTAGAGAACTTCTAAAGCATTTCTATGTTAACTTCAAAGAATTCCATTAAACCTGTTCTGTGTCTTTATATAAAACTAACAGCCGACCAAGTTTTCTTTCCTCCCACACCTTCTAAAGGGTAAAACAGAGGTAAAGAAGGAAAAGCAAAAATCATAATGAAGTTATCTTAAAATTAACATGACTGTTTGAAGGACAGAGTGGCACTTAAACCTAGTATAAAAATATCAAAATGATTCACACAGCTAGAAGAGAAAGGGTGAAATTAGAGACCCTGAACTCAAAGTCTTCTGTTGAACTTGGAAGGTTTTGCTCATACAAACCACCCTACCGACAAGATCCATTTTTGGCCATGGAAATGACATTCTTAAATTCCTGCTGGGATTATCTATACTTCAGATAGGGCCACCTTTGCCATCTGGCAGTGTAGTGACACAAACACAAATGATGGTCTCAAAAATGCTATAAATTACAGGTAAAATACATAAACTCACGATGGGAATCACAGCAAACTCCTCACAATTAGGATGAGCAGACTGCAGAAAGGGCCTAGTCTTTAAGAGAGGCTACAATGTCAGCAACACAGTCAGTGGGCACATTGGCTAATGGGTATATTCTGCATACATAATTCCAGGGAGAGGAAAAATAGAAACTGAGCAAAACTCTCCCTCCAGTCAGTGGAAACACAGACTCCTGCTACACTTTCTAGTAGAGAGAAGAAGAAATCCTAGTGGTAAAATTCCCATGTGTGGAATACATGGCACTGCAGCTCACAGAGCTCCTAAGGTATGAGAGTAAAGACCCTCATTCATACATTTCAAAGGTCAACAGCAAGACAACAGGGCATTACCTGCTGTGGGATGGAAACCAAACACCTAGACCCACTGCCCTTAACACACAAGTCATTCAGGTAGCACTTAAACATAATGAGATGGCTATAAGATGCTTCAGTTTCAGATTCTGACATGTTTTGCTGAATGCTCAATTTCCTCAAAATAAATCAATGATAACACCTTTGCTACCACTTGAAACCTTTTCCCAAATTGATCACCAATAGTTATCCATTCTTTTTTCTATTGGGTATAAAAATTTATTTTATTGCTTCTAAAGTTTCCAGTTGCTTTCAAGGTTTCCAGTTTGAAAGAGATATTATCAAACCTAAAAAAAAGCCATCTTTTGACTTGCTGGACTGGAGGCGCATTTGAAACACAAGCTGTAGCAATACATCCTACAAGATGCTCAGCAGCTTTGTCTTTGACAGTCTACAAGGCCCTAAGCCTTCTGCACCATCAGAAGCAAGGGGCAGGAGCTCTGTCTTCAAGCCAGGTGTTACAACAACTGTTTTCTTTTTAGTTTTAAATGAATATTGTAAGAGCAGAAGAAGATAAAATTGAGTACTGCTTTAATAAGAAACCAAATTTATACTCTTAATGCAATACGGTGTAAATTCTCTTTGGAAAGAATTTCCAAAGATTCTCTTTGGAATCTTATTACTACAGAAACAAATATACCTCACTAAAATATACCTTTTTTTCCCCTGAAAAAGAAAACTGATTCATCACAATCTATTATTTCAAGATATCATTATTTTAATTAAACTCTTATTTTACCCATATCAAACTTTTAGTAACTGCATCTTCTCCTTCAATGTTTTTCTGTCCTGCTTAGATTTAAAACATTGCTAATAATCACCATCTCCCATTTGAGTACTTAGGTGTGTAGCACAGGCCAAAATAACCTTATTTTCTTAAAAGTAATGAAACTATTTCAAACCTACAACTACTTTTATTTGAGCTCTTATTTCAGTTTTTTATTTCTATCTGATCCACGTGCCAGAATTTTGCAGAATGAAGGAAGCGGATCTGCAAACATTGTTAGCTAGCAGGTGTTCAGACAAAAAAACACTCCTGATTTATTACCATCCCACAGAGGGAGAACTAAGTGCTCCTCAGCAACAACTAGCTAGTCAGTAACTCACACGGTAGACTAGTCAGGGGAACTCATACAATGCCTTTTATTTCTTGACCACCTGCTCTCCTGATATCTGCATGGGGTCACATCTGTAACATAGTGGGAGAAGTGGGAGAAGTGGCAAAATGAAGCACCACCAGCAAAACCAGTTGCTATTATCCTGATGGTGCAAACAATAAGGAATGTTAGCACTTCAGAAAGGGCTAGGGAAATTCAAAGACACCAAATCTGTAATTAGGGTAAAAAAGTACCATGATTTAAAAAAAAAAATTAAAACAATTACAAGGAAGTTTAAGATCTGAGGTCAACAACACAGTAAAGTCTTCTGAATATTTCATAAATTTAAAAATGAAATATTAATTACCGACCTTAATGCCAAAGTGTAGGTTCCAGGTTGCCTTTGGCTTTCACGAATGAGATAGCTTCCCTCTGCAACACTTAATAATTGGTCAGCTTCCTCCCTTGAGATCATCCCATGGAATCTAAGGAACAAAAATTTTTTTGAAACACATGCCTTTTCTCTCTTAAATCACCTTTTGCTCTTCTTTTAAAAAGCACCAGCCACAGTAATTAAAAAAGAAACAAACATTAAAATGACTGATTTGCAGGAATCTACAGCTTAAATTAATCTCCCTTTCTGCCTGTATTTGAAGTCACTTTAAATGGTTTAGAAAGGCTTCTAGGAAACAATATCAATGAAACAACTATATTGCTTTTTAAATCTGCATCTATCAATTTAATATGTAGAAATAAATCCATTCTCTCCTGCTGGCTTCACATGTTTTGTGCCAGTGGCATGCAATCAAATATTCTGAAGCATTCAAGGATATTATATGCAATCCCCAAGATTTTAGCAAGTTGCCATAATCTCAGTAATTACTGGTGTAATGACCTAGCAACACTACACATCTTTTACCAAAATAAACCTAAGTAAGGTCTTTGTTTCTCCACACTAAATCTAACCATCTTTGCCTTAGCAACCTGAAACAGAAGACACATACAGACTGTACATATATTGCATTTCTGATCCAAATATCTTTTTTCCTACACAGAAACACCTTTTTGCAAAGCCAGCTGGAAGGGGAGGTAGAAAAAGACAATCCTTTGAAAGTATAGAAACACATGTATGTTTTTCTCACTTAAAATAGCACTCAGTGATATCCATATCCATCAGAAACTGCAGCTGTAATTTTAGGCAGACAAAAGTGATAGTACTGCAATAACAATTTGATGGTGAGCAAAGGCACACTGCTGTAAAACATACAGAAGAAACACAGGGCACAGAGTAAACACTTGCCACCTTCTGTAACTAGTATCAACCAACATGTTCAGATAAATCACTTTTAGAGGTGTATGTTACTTACTCTCTTCCATAATATTTGGGTCTGTTCTCTACCTAGAAAAAACAACAGAAATTGTAATGTTTCATAACAAGAGAACCTATACAGTAAGCATACTGTCCACAATATAGTATTAAAAATAGAGAGGGATATAATGTGAAAGTACAGGCAAAAATCATCTACTATCCAGTATTTCTCCTGTGATTAGAACATAGGGAAACCATAGGTAGGCCTTCAGGAAACACTGCACTTCTGAATGGCCTGGAGTGAGACAGGATGAACCACTTGGATCATATCATCCTCAAGACTCTGCATATACAAACTGATGGCATTGAATATTTCTTGTACAAGCTGCCAAAAAGGGAGAACAAAGTTTGAATTTCATGCATGTAAGTGCACAGTATTGTTGAGTGCACTAATAGAGCGAAACATCTATAGAACACTTAAATTTAAAGGTTACCTTCCATCACAGAGCTGCTGGTGCCACTGCTGAGAGAAATAAAGCCACTACCATATCCTTTCAGAGTGAGGGCAAATGCTTAATTAAAGTGCCTAAATTAAAGTGAATTAAAGTCATCAAGTGCCTAAGCCTTGTATTTCTCAACTTCATTAAACTATGTGATCTGTAGTATCAACTAAAAGATCTCAACAACAGGTATGCATGTGTTATGTTGTGTAATTCCAATCTGACTGTGCTCTAGAGACCATACTGCATAAATGCACACAAAATGCAAGGGTGTCAGATTGCAATTTGCCTGATAATTATTTTGGATGAAATAATGCATCTGCATTTTTCCAGAATGTTTAGAGCTAAGTGAGGAATGGCAGACCTCACAGAAATCAGCTCAATAATCTAAACCACCAGATTACCAGGTTATCCTTTCTTGATAAATTTAAAGGAGGAAACTCTTTGGGGAGTAAAATTCAACAGTTATGCAACCTGAGTTACAAAAGTATAAAACAATTCAGCTACACTGAAACATAAAATACAGTAAACTGCCACTTCAGTTTCTTTTTTCCATCTTTTCAACAGAAAACCTATTAATATTAGCACTTTTCACCAATTATTTCAGTGGAGTATAAAGATTTCAGATGTCCAAAACAACAAAAACCAACATACATCCTGATGTACAGTCTAAGAACAATTCTTCCCCATTCCCAGCATATAAAAAGCTATTGTGATGGTTCATCACTTTTGAAAAAACATTCCATCACTGAAAAGATTTATCTTGTACTAAAAGATTTCCTTTTCCTTTATAAGAGCAAATGAGAGTTGACTGGTGTTATAATTGTTTTCAAAGGGCCTGAAGAGACTTAATAATTTCAAAAAAGAAGAAAGGTCTTAAATATTTTTTGTTAAATGTAGGCTATTTCTTCAATAAGAAGATAGCAATATGAACAGAGAAAAAGTGAAAGCATTTTATTGTTGATATTACAGAAACTTGCAACAATTCCTAACTAAACCCTTAAGCCAAGACACTAGTTTCAGGCAGTTATTAAAAGAAGAATCCTGTCATGAATAAGATTTTGTTGTCTGTCTACTGAGATTTTATATTTATCTCAGTGAACTTATACGACAGAATTGGAAAATTTATATAAGCAAAGGCATTCCTTTTCAGAAATGGATTACTAATGTGATAGAGCATCTTCAGAGTACTTGTAATTCCTACGACAATTTATAATATACTCTGTGTGCAAATATTTGAAAGTGTGAATTAGCAGAAGACTGAAGCAAAGCATGAGAAAAAAAGCTCCACTGGACTTCCAGTCAATTGTAGCTGGGCTTGCAGTTCATCTTGGTGGATGATGAGTTAAAAAGGAAAATAACCACTTCTGTTAACTCTGAGTCTCTACTGATCAGTTTTACCAACTTGCAAAAAACCTTTAGTATAAATGTTGATGTGCAGCACTGTCTGCTTATATAAGACTTAGTGCAGCTGGAACCTCAATTCGCTGAGTTTTATTGCCTGTTTGTGTTTTGGGTTTTTTTCCACAACTTTTTACATTTATGATAATATTAGGGTTTTTTGACATCTAGATTGAATACATACATTAAGATTTTAAGGAAATTCCACCAGAACTCAGCAGAGGTCTTGTAATTCATTCAGAATTAGCTGGGCTACATACACAGTGCAGTTCATGTGTACTTAAAAAACCACACAGATTCCCTGTAAGCCAAATTTACCATGTAAGACAGTAAACACTGTTCTCCAGCTTCCCATAAAAAGTGTTTTTACACAAACTATACTCCTAGCAACTCAGACATAGCGTTTGTTCTTACTTTAGGTATCCTTAGCTGCACCAGAACCAGAAGCAACATGCAGCTTTTTTGGTCTTTTGTGTCTGCCTGGACTTCACAAAGTTCCTGACTGATCATATTCTACATAATTAATTCTACAGTTTAGAATCACAGGCACCCACGTATCCTCCCATTGTACATGAGCACTGAAAGCCAAAACATTTTAGTTTAGAAGCTTCATTAGTCTAACTTTAACAGTCAGTCATGCTTAAGGAGACAAAACCAAAACATCCATCTGGACTGGAACTAAAACCCACCTAAGAAAGGAAATACATTTTTAAATAAGATCAAAGCAATAGCAAGAACTTGGTCATTTTAGCTAAAACTGTTAGCTGAAAATACAGTATAATTATCCTCTGCAGAGTTTCTTTCTGATTTGGCAGTATTTCTGGACTGAAGTATCATTAAGCACAAGTAAAGGCAACCTTAAGTACTTAATTTTCTCTGTATCCAGCAAAGATCAGCTGACTGCTCTCTTTTGACTTCTCTGGACATTTTATTTATGGGAAAAATTTCCTATTGTTGTTTGTTTGGCAAATTTTTAAAAATTGCTTCTAACTTAGAAAAAAAAAAAAGAAAAAAAGGTGAGATATTTGTTTTCAGTGTGTATACTTGTATATCATTGATGCAGAGGCCACAGGAAAAAAATAAGATCTCCCTATGATACCTGCAAGAAACATAAAAATCAACAAGATATCCACCATTGTTTAATTTCTGATTTTTTCAAACTGAGGTGTGAAACCAAGGAAACCAAATTTATAAACAGGTAAGTGGGGCAGATTTGGCAAGTACCTTATGGTAGCCATTCCTTTGGAAAAGAGCTTAGCTACCACGAAATTTGGGAAGTCAACCTGGCCGAATATCCTACAGAAAAAGCCACCTTTACAAACAGCTCTAAAAAGGATGTGCATTATATATGCCCATCTATATGTTTCTTGACTACTAACATTGTGACGTTTTCACAATACTACACAGAGATGCTGTTTAATAGGCTTCTTAACTACTAGCATTGAATGAGGATGAAGCCTCCCAACAGGACAGAAAAGGTCAGTGCTTTTAATTATATCCATCATACGTATTTTTTCATATAGTTATTTAAAATTTAGCATGCAATGCTTTCATATAGCAGTCAAGGATGCCCTAAATACGCCTGCACATGCATATGTAAAAGATTATATGCACAAAAAAATACAAATTTCATAGAGGAAATACAATATTAATTGGACAAACAACATTATAATTTGGATGCAAGCCTCATGCAGAAGTCAGATGAATGTTATGGAATCATCAACTTTAACCTCACAGAATGTTAAAAGCCTTGGCTCTGCTGCACCTTCACAATAAAAAATCCCAAATGAATGCAATGCTTTTTTACTTCTGAGCCCTTCCACTGATCTGTGTGTTGCTCTAATATGAAACTGGTGTAGCAGAGCAGAAACTTGAATTCTTTGTATTTGAGAAGCATTTCATTTTAAGTAGGTCATTCTGTTGAATACACCTCTCGGTATCAGCACTTGTACAACGTGTGCCTTTGCACATTAAATAAAAGGTTGGGGGTTTTATGGTGTAATTTCCAATTATTCTTTAACAAGCGCTTTTTTCCCTTAATCATCACTTTTGCTTATGTCAACAAGTGGATTACAGTAAGGCAAGAAGAGCAATTTTTGTGCTAATACCTCACCAAATTACATATTGTTCCCTCCTACTGACCTCTTTGATGTTCTCAGGACCAAGATTCTTTTCCTAATATTTATGAATTTGTTTATACAGCTGAATAATTCAACCACTTAGGAAAAGATTCTGCTCCCCACTGACTCATGCATGGTTGCTAATAGAAACCCAGCTGAGAAAGAACAGATCACAAAGCTCAACACAAGCAGAAGAGGCTGAGACTAGAGGGAAAGGTTAAACAAATTACTGCTCGCTGAATATATTTTCACTTCAAATCAGCTCAGCTGCATAAATTGTTCAACACTTATAACGAAAACCAGTTATGTGCATTATAAAGAATTAATGCAGAAGTAGGAAAATGCACACTGATACCATATTCTTTCAATTTTACCTTTATTAGATAAAAATAAGCTTCAAAGAACTTTTTTGAAAATACTCTGATTCTTTAATGATAAAACCTGTATTTAACGTGTTCTGTTCTGCAGCTAAATACCTGGAACTGACTGATTCTTTCACAGTTCCATTTTATCAATTCTCACTGGTTTCTAAATCTGCAGCTTTTAGTTCTTAGTTTCTACAACAATGTTCATGGTGCAGACACAAGCTTACACTGCAGAGTTCAAAAAGCTGTTTTAAAATACAGAATATCTCATTTTTCTGTTCACTCTGTCACAGGGATACTTTTACACTTATTTAAAGTTTGTCATATGTTATCATCTTGTTCTGGAATAAATTCATAGAAATATGACATCAAAGGCACTAATGTGTTGCCTTTCTTTTTTCAGTGATGACAGGACTTAGCAGAGTGTTTTGATTGTTTGTGGTACTTTTGCCAATCTCCCATTAACAGGCTATCAGTTCATAGAATTAGGAGGACCCCTCTATGTAGGGATGCAGAGAGATCAGGTACCCTCCAAAGAGCTTGGATGATTAGTTCATGCAGGACACCACTCACACATGCCAAATATTCCTTTGTAAACCAGTCCAACTTTTCAATTTGCTACCTGTATAGCTAATAAAATTTTCTAATTTAAATTCAGTGATAATGAGGATGAGAAAGTTGTAGTACTCAGTGTGATTCGTATTTGAAGAAGTTTTACACAGATGCTTCTATATTTGGCTGGCAAGAGTAAATCTCTTGTTTGATTCTAAAAAGAAGACCAATAGCTGAAAGATTTTCAGCACTCCAGAGGCAGGAGACATTTTTAATTTTCATATACTGAATACACATTTATGTCTCTGCTTATTTGACCGGATAGAAACAGCACGAAGGAGAACTCGGTATAAAATTTGCTTGTAACTTCTTATCACCTAGGGCAAAGTGACCCCAAAGCATTTCTCTGCAGTCAAACTAGCATGGGATATAATGCCAACAGATCTTACTGAATATACCAGACTTCTTTTATCAGTTTACAGTTTCTTATTGACTACAGGGTACATATACTTTGTGCAGCTGACATGCAAAATATTTATGAGCATTACACTATAAGTCTGCTACTATGGGGGTAAACAACAGCAGGATTCTGAGATAAGACTCAAAAAATAAAAGGCTACAGTGATTATTGTACAGCTGTAACATCAGCACCTCAATGAACAGTGTCAGAAAAAAACTACCAAAAATCCCTTAAAAAAATACCTACACATACTAGCACTTCTTCCACCAGGGAAATACTTTTGATGAGAGGATGAAAAAACCAACCGTCCAGCAGCACTTTACAGCAACAAACACAATCCATTGGAGGAAAGGAATAAAATACTTTATCCAGGTGAGCACTCTGAACAATCATCAACCAGTACTGTAAGACAAAGCTTTTACAAGAATTCAGATACTTTGTATATTACTGTAATGAAAAAATGTATCATAGACAACACACAAAATAGAAGAGAACCTTCTTAATGTTGCAATGGGAATAAAAGACTGGAAAACCTTCCTTTTTTTCACAGCTCAGATCTTATCTTCTGTACTTACCTTTCCTTCAAATCTCCATCCCAATTTATTCGATGTACATAAGATACCTGCACAACAATTTTAACAAGAATACCTCTGCTTGGACACTCATTAACAGTAGAAACCCTTGTCAAAACGAACTTTTGGCTAAAATTCTTGTAAAATTCGTGTGTTGTTCTTTTCTATAGCTATATCTTTCCCAAGTGCAATAAGTTACAGCTATACCTTTTTTGAAAACACAAATCTATCAAATTCACAAAGGAAAGCAAGCATGCTTCCACTACGTGCAGTATTTCACTTTTGTTTAATCTCTACGTTTTATTTTAAAAATTTACAGACTACTTCACAGAATGACAATTGGGCATTTGAAGAGATGACAGAGAAACACCCATTTAATTCTGTCAAGTAATTCTCCTTGTGATCTAAACTATAAGCTACTACTGTTCCAGACAGTGTTAGATCTCTCTGTATTTATTACTACATGAAGCAACTAACATGTCTCAAAGATTAATTTTCTTTCTCTTGGCAAAGATTAAATTTCTTTTTCTTTTGATAAAAATACTCAATTTTTATTGTAGCCATGTAATAAACTTCAGTTATTCAGTAAGAGCTGTGTGTTGTAATGCTGCCTAACATTTCAGAATTTTTGAAACTGAAATTAATGTTTCCCAGGTTCCCAACTGAAGCTTCAAGACAGACATAGTTATGAGTAAATCTTGCTGGCACCCATGTTTGGTATCAGTTAAACCCTCCAGCACCTCAGCTCTGGAGAGGTGCTGCTCTGCTGAATGGTAGCTCAGGGCACACTAGAATTTGGGGTCTGACTCAACAGCTGACACCATGAGCAGGTGCTTCTGTATCACTGTCTATCAATGGGATCCCATAGTTACCAGTTCAGTCTTAAAATCTGTGGCTCTGTATAGCTTAGCTCCTGCTATTAATGAGTCCTAAGTATTACGACTCAAATAACAGCACCAGGGTTCAGTCTTCCGTCTGCTCATTTATTTTACACATCTAGCAGTGATGTCTGGACAAACAGGTACATAGTCCCCCTCTACAGCTCTGCTCTTGCTTCTTTGAATTTCTGACCAAAAAAGGAGAAAATGTGTGTTCATGTATCTAAGAATCAAAAACTATTAAATGATTCTCAGGTATACACATGATACTCAAAATGCTTTTAATTCCATTTTTAGACCAAATGGATTTCCAAGTACCAGTGCCCCCAAGGCTACTTGCTCCAATCACAGCACAAAAAGTGTCCCAAAGAACCACTGCTGGGGTTGGACACAATTAAGTATAGACATGGAATTACTGGACTCTATAATAAACTGAATGTCATAATACCTACCTCACGAGTGCAGGTTATTCTTCTAGGATGGGGAGCTTCCTGTTGCAACTGATACACTGGGAGGAGGCAGAAGTTAAACTCTAATTAATACAGAATCATTGCAGTAGTTAGACATTTTAACATTAAATATTACTGTTTAAATAAGGAGACTTTCTACAAAGTTTAATGCGAGGATACTAAGGATACCAAAGTCTCAAAATTTACCAATATGTGGTCAGAAAAAAGAATGTTGCTAGCCAAAACAGGATATTGATTTTCTTTACAATTAATTGATCAAGTAATATGGAATAACTAGGTGAGACCAGTTAAGTTTCCAACAAGATCAGAAAAAGAATCATACTAAACACAAATTAAAGTTTATTATATGCCAAATCAGGTTGCTGTCAGACTTTCTTCAGTAAACAGATGGAGCCCCATCCTACTATGCTGAGCACACAGTCATATGTCAAGACAAGAACCACTGAGAACTATGCAGTATCACTCTGCTTTTGCCACTGCTCAGTGATGACCTTTCTGAAGAAAGATGGCCTTTGCATTTGCAGATCAAAAGACATCAGGAGTTGAGCAGCAGAGTAAAACAGTTAAAGTCCAAATTAGGACATACACTTACTTACATTTACATCTTCTCTCCTCCTTTTTCTCTATTTTTAAAATAAGCTTCATCACACCAGAATAGATCTTAGGAACCACATGTAAATTTAATGGTACTAGTATGTGCAGACTTTCTAATATAATACCAACTTCTACCCCAACTGAGTGTGGTTTGGCAAGTCTCCTTCAAAATGAGGCTGTCAACACTAAGTTAGTATTTGAACAGTACTCTAGAACTGACAAAATTGACATCTGGAATTGTAATCTTTCAAAATTAAATTATGTTTCAATTAGTACTAATACCAAGGTCTAATAATATGTGTTATCACCTTCTTAAGGTATTAAGACTATACACTAATTTAACAAATACAATTTGACTTCATTACACTTCTCATTTGATTACAAGTCTTTTCCACTGGCAAATGCTGTATTTATGGGCTAAGTTACACTGGAATGGAGAAAATGGCAAGATGCCAGATGATCACAGAGTCATAAGATAAACTGGAAAAAAACACTGCCTTTGTTCCACACAAAAAAAGCTAATGGTTTTTCCTGTTGTTACTAAAATCGATCCTTACCATTTGGTACTGGTAATACCAGAATGATTTCTGCAAGTGATGAAGATCAGCACATTGGTATATAAAACTGCAGTTAGCATTTCAAGCATAGCATGACCATTTATTTTGCCAGCAGTTCCCTAGCTTTTCTTGTAAAAGCTGTATTTGATGGCACCAGGCCTTGTCCATATCTAATTCTGAAAACTGCAGAGCCAAGTTCAAAGAAAAAAAAAATAAAATTACAGATCGAGTATGGATTTTTCTGAATTTCAAAGAAGAGCAGTGGAGACTTACGATGGGCACGGTCTACAGAAATTGGTTGAAAACTGAGAACTGTTTTCCACCTTACTTCAGCCAGGCTGAAAAGATTTTCTGAAAGGAAATTATTTTTCACCAATGGCAGTACCCTTCTTCTCTTCCAGCAAGAAGCACAGCAGGTTGACTAGCTAAGCTACAAAACAGGATGCCTATCCCTCCTCCTCTAATTGATGTATGCAATTCAAACCATTCAACACGAATTTCCTTGCTGTAATTATTGCCAGGAAAGTCAAACAAGACATTCCTCTTAATCTGTCATGAGACAGAAACATAATCAAACCCTGTGATTCTGATCTTACTTCTGAACCACATGAAGGGTTCACCATGGCAGGCAAACAATGATGTTGTAGGAGAGTGGGTGCATACACATTTGCATGCGCCCATGCCTTCAGCTCCTGGCAAGGTGCCAATGAAGACTGGGTATTTAGAGAGCTTGTACCTCCCCGTTACAGATTATGGCAGGGAACAAACCAAACAAGGAAGCAGTGTTCCCCAGTTCACAGAAGGTACACTGAAAAAAATACTTTAAACTGTTCTCTTAACACTTACTCTCTTTCTAACCATGGTTCTCACCAACCCTTTAAGAACACTCCCGTATCTCTGACTGAAAAGTCTCCCACAGTAGGATGGAAACCTTTTGAAATAACTACATTTTATCAGGTGCTAAATCTCCCCAACCTTTAGAGGGGCCTTTTCATGGTGTGAAATGTTGCTTGAGCAAATCCTTTATCCCACCTGAAGACATCGAGCTGAATATATACAAAGTAATGCAAGTGTAAGTCTGATGTCCCTAAACTGCTAAGTGTGTTATACACACAAACATTCTGCTTTCAAAATCTGCTTTTCACAGAAGACTCTTCTTTCTTGCTGTGTTTCCTTGAGTCTCAAAATGTCTTACATCTTGGGTTTTCTATCTACAAAGAACTAGAATTTATAGGTGAGATACTATGGGAAGCTGAGATGCCCTTTTACAATGCCATTTGTCTCATGTTCTCTTCTATGTCCCTGAACCTTCATTAGCCCAGCCAAACAACAGGTCATTCCTTTACGTGGAATTCTTTTGCATTTAAAAATGTAATCTTGGTTGTGCTTTTTTATGGGTTTGAGTTTTTTGGTTTGTGAGGGATGCACGCCAGGCCAAACAAACGCTCTTGTTTTACCCCATCATTTTATGCACAGTGTGAGCAAGCATTATGCTTGCTTGCACTCAAGCCATATAGTTATTACAACTAAGGGCAGCATGGTTATAAAAAGCAACAATATTACATCACCAAATTCTGGAGGAAAACAATTTATTTTGAGTCTTTTTCTAACCAGTTCAAGTCTCAGCTCTAGTAATGCAAGGTACTTGATCACAAGATACCTTAAAAGTTTGTAAGGTCACCAACTTTAAGGCATGAATAGAATTTATGTAAATCCTGGTCTAGGCAGCCAAACTAATATAAGTCAGACCAACCAGGAGTGGGACAACTAAGTTAATAAGTGCAGACAATCCACTACTCCAAATAATCAATGCTCACTTGTCCTTGGAGATCGTTCAACTGCACTATCTCTAAGCAGCAATGAACCCCTTGATGCTTCTTAAACTCACATTCTGATGAAAAGAAAAATAAGTCTTTTAAAGCACCCAAGCAAAACTTTTTCAGCTCTGAGTTGGAGAAAAAAAGCGCTGAGATACTTACAGTAAGATTTCCAAACAGGTGGTCTGTATTCATCAGTATCTGAAAGAAAACAAAAATTCTTAATGTTGTGTTGGAAACATTTTAACACAGAAATAACCCTGCAGATGCACTTGCAGAATTATTAAGATAAATATTGCACCTAGGTTCTAAATTATTATAGAACAACCTCTTACAAGTTCCCCCTCTTTACTCAAATTAAAACCGTGAAAAGGTATTTTCTTTATCCAGCTAGAAAAACTAAAGAAATACATTTGCAAAATGGCAAACATGCAGATCAGAAGCCAACATACTGTGAGGGGGAAGGGGAATTCATATTATTTTACTATACATATGTCTATAAATTGTATTTTAAACTACATCAGAAAGATTTTTTTTAATCTCAATTTATATTTCAATAAATGGGTTTCCATGCAACTTATTCCTGTCATTAGCTTTTTCCTCTTCTGGACAGCAATTAACAACTCCTAAAATAAAACCAGAGTATGAAAGTACTGTGAAATATTTTGAAAAAAAGAAGGATTTTTTTTCATACAGAGTACAAACTCTATTTGGAAGTAGTGAGTATGTATTACAAGTACCAACATAATTTTAATCCCAAATTTTAATTCTCAAATCAAATTAAAAAAAAATAAATTTCAGTGTCTTCTAGGTTTCTGTCACCCTTATGGCTCGCTGACAACTAATCTGACGTTTTGAGCTCAGGGCTATGATGCAAACTTCAACTCTGATCCACTGTTTTACCGCTCTTGACCAGCTTCAGTTTCGATGTTACAATCACTGAGGCTTTCTGCAAGATGCTGTGCTCTCTGCCTTGGAGCTGGTGAGAGTTACTCCATATGCATAACACTACAAGGTCACAAGATGAGCCAACCACACACCCAGTCTTGCTGTCTGAAGCCTCTTCTGACTGCAGCATTCATATCTGAGCTCTGTTTGCAATTCTCTGCTTGCTGTAACTACCTGCAACAAACCCCAAATTTCTAGTTTTTATTATAAGGTTACGTAAAGATCAAGCAATCAGGGAACCTGTTGCCTGAATTTTAGCCTGAGTGGCATCTACACTTAAAGAGTCCTTAAGGCCTGCAAAACCAAGCCTGAAGCACGGAAAGGATTTTGCTTTGCCTCTCCTTAGGGTAAGGAATCTGTCTTCTTCAGATACTTGCTGTCGTCCATTTCTCTCACATATAGTCATGCCAAAAATCTCTAAATTAGAGCTTGGAACAAGGTATTTTCCAGTTTAATTGACACAGACTTGCTCACATCCTCTCAGCACACTCTCTGCCCTGTCTGCACTGTAATTTTTTACCCTGTATTTTAGCTCTACACATGAAGAGGATGCAGTCCTTGTAAACTACCTTGGTGGCAGTGGGTTTTATGAATACAATCCATTATGATTTTATTATTGAGGCAGCACTCAATTAAACTGCCATCCCCCAGAATATGATGGGTTTTGATCTTTGGAAGGTCCTGCAGATGCTCTACCACGTCCTGCGGATTGGCCCAAACACCTTGAATCTGCAGAGAGACCTTAAGCAGCTTGCACTGTACTATGGCAGTAAAAGCAAATCAGCAGCAACAGATGCAGCCATGGTTATTCATTCCTACTTTGATACCTTTAATTAAGGCAGTGCAAGTCGATTCATTCCAGAAGCATTGTAATGTGATCCCTTAGTAATGCAATGTCACATGGAAAAGGGGCAAAATTTGTAAGTAAAAATAATAGCTTTAGTCCCAGAAGACAACTCTTACCCCACTAGCTGAATTTGCTTTTTCTACACTCTGTTTTTTGGCAATACATGCACCCCCTAAATTTACAAATAAATAATCTAAGTAAAGGACAACACACTGTATTTGCAAAATATGAGCTGACTGTTATGCAAATACACATATCCTGGCAGTCTAACCTATACTTGCTCACACTCAAGCCATATAATTGTTGCAACTAAGGGCAGCATGGTTATAAAACTAAAAAGCAACAATATTTGTGCCAAACAAAAAACCTCAAACCTTGTTAAAGTCAGGCAAGAACAGCAGTAACTTTCATACAACAAACATTTAACATTCAGAAATGGAAGGAATGATTTATGTTATGCAGCTGTGCACAGGATTTTATTAGAAAAAAAATCTGCCAGTGAGCTTTACTGCCTTTACAGTGTGAGAATACCCTCCGGCCATCCACATGAGGTAATGAAAAAACAAAAGGTCGTTTCTATTGTGATTTTTTAAAAAAAGTTATCTAATACAAAACACTGTAGTAGCAAGTACAGCACAGTAGCAACGGTGAAGCAGAGGGTCTGTAGTGTTAGTTTCTGTGCAATAATGTTTCTATTACGAAAACTATCCCACTATACAAATATGAAATAGGATAAGCATAAACACAACCCCTGTCTATTAGTTACCCCTTTTAAAAGATTAACCAATGTGGTCGCATTTTACACATCATCAGTATTTTGAAATGCATTATCAAGAGAAGGGTTTGATTTTCAGACAGTGCAGGCTTTCATGTTTCACATCTCCAATTAGGCATCTGAAAAGCACTTTAGGGCATGATAAAAAACCCACAGAAAATGTGGAAGCCAAAATATATTTTCTCACTAATGCTGTGCCACTTTCTAATTAACACAATCAACTCTACGCTGTCAGTTCTCAGATTTTTTCGCAGTAGCTCAGCTCTGCTAAATATTTCCAGGATAAAATAATTTTCTATAAGCTGTGCACCATGTTTTATCTAACTGCATTTTCTGCCTTAAGCAAGATGCAATTCAGCTTAAAGCTACACTTCTCCAAAGGCCTAGAGTGCTACAGACGACATAAATACCTAAACTGATGCTACCAGTTCTGTGATCCTACCAGCACTGGTGAGATTTTTGCCAGTATGGGGGCACTCTCATCAGCAAGGACTTTTTAGATCACGGACACTGTCCATGTACATAAATCCAATTTCAAACAGAGACCACTTTCAAGCTGACAGATACTTTCACTCAGAATTAGCTGGGCTACGTACACGGTACAGTTTGTGTAAAAAGCCACATAGCTTCCCTGTAAGCTAAATTTACCATGTAATACTGTAAACACTGATCTCCATCTTTCTGTAGAGCTTCCAGCAAGCATTGTTACATAGTGTTTGTTCTTACTTTAGCAGTCTGTACAAGCAATATTTAGGGCCATCAGTTTCTATATGCAGAGTCCTGTGGATGACAAGATCCAAGTGGCTCATCCTTTCTCACTCCGTTTCAAGCCGTTCAGAAGCACAATGTTTCTTCAAGATATATCTTTGGTTCCCCTATATTCTAACCACAGGAGAAGTTCTGAATACTCAGCACTTTCTTGCCATCATCTTCTTGCCTCACAAACACACTTTTCCCTCCTCTCTTTTCCAGGACTTTGCCTTTCCCCCAGCCTCAGCACCCTTCAGCTGCACGCAAGACCTCTCCTCTCGTCCTTAAGCAGCGTTTTGGTTTGCTTCCCACTGTTGTCCTGCTAGGACTCACCTACCAGCCCACTGAGCATCTCATTCTCAAGCCATCTTGTCTCATTTCATCTCTACTCAAAGTTTCCTTGAAATTTGCTTAAATGCAGAGAAAACAGAGATAGAAAGCCCAGAACAGCACAACAGGCAGCTTCTGGCAACAGCCAGAAATGTCACAGTGGGCAGGAGTGTTGCTCTCTGGGCCTAGTATGCCCTCCTTTGAACGCACCAATTCATGAAAAAAAAAAAAAAGGAAACTGATTTTGGACACAAACCACTGGCAATGAAGAACTGAAAAGCACAGAGTGACCATCAGAAACACACACTTCCACAGAAAAGGGCTTCTGCCAACAGACAATCTACAGCCATTTAGAAGTTCATATACAGACACAAACACTAGGAGAGCATCTCAGATTTTCCATAAACACAAATGTGACTAATTGTGACATTATACAATGTGGTATTTTCCTTCTTTCTTACCCACTCTTATTTTATCCATTATATAAATCTGGACAACTGCAGTACTTTCAGAGTGTACATTTTAACTGCAGATATGAAAACTGTTACTATTGCCTCAAACTGTTCAGAGTGTTTATCTTTGTGTATTCCTTTTACAGAAAGAATAAAAATGTTTACCTCTGCTTGAAATGGTTCTCTCTCCCCATTGAAGACCAGTCAGCTCTAGGGTAGAGGAGCAGCAGCAATTTAACTCTGCATGGTAACCCCATAAAGCAATGTAGGACTTACAGAGATTTCCTGTAGAGAACTCAGTTTTATTTTTCTTTTACTGGGTGTCATTCCCTGCAGCATGGTCATCTCTAACATCAGAGAGTAACTGTCTAGGAGGAAATAGTCAGCTATCTGCTGACACAGCAGCTCTTGCCCCAAAGTTTGATTTTCTTTGATAATATCCCTATTGAACCCAAGTGAGGCCTCAGGTGGTGAACTTTGTGGAAGAGGCCAGTTCTCAGTAATGTGGACCAAACACCAATATCATCAGGAGAAAAAAAATGTCTTATTTCATGTTCTGAACTGAACTCGGGCCAAAAACTGGTGTAAGTCACAAATATGAAAAGATACAAGAAAGTATAAACATTCTTCTGTAAGCTACAGCCTAGGCACTAACCAGAAAGCATTAGCATGTGTTCTGAGATGCTAATCTTGCTTTGTTTGGCAGCAGCATCTGTCAAAAATTAACTCCTGGAGAGATGCACAACCAGTGGACGTGGCCATTTGCTGACCCATACAACAGACTCCTTTTTGTGCCTGAAAAACTTTTTCTAAAAAATTCGTCCTTTGCCCCAAAATCTTCCTTATTAGCAACTTCTCTAAGCCCAAAGGATGTACGTAAAAAAAAATAATCACTCAACCTAGAGAAACAAAGCCATAATTTATTGGCTGGGGAGATTATCAAGCCACAAAAAACCAGCACAGTTGAATAGAAAACATAATTTCATCTCTGTTTTTCAGAGTACAAGTGCCAACAGCATTTCAGAAACTAAGCTCAAGTCATCACAAAATGTTTTCAGCAGCATTCAAGCAGGCCCTAGCAGT